CAAACTCCTGCCATTTCACTGATCATGTATGCTAACTTAAAATACAGGGAAATCTGTGTCTCACAAATGCAGTTACCAGCACAGCCAGCACCATCTACTGAGCACATCAAACTCCCAGCCATTTCACTGATCATGTATGTTAACTTAAAATCCAGGGAAATCTGTGTCTCACAGCAAACTCCCAGCCATTTCACTGATCATGTATAACTTAAAATACAGGGAAATCTGATCAGAAACTCCCAGTGCACCTCCCTCCATGCTCTCATGCATTTAGCTTTTTACCTCATTCCTTTGATTTCAGTGTAAATGTTTATTTCCATAGCCATTCACAGGTAGAACCAAGCCATGAGTTTGTTCACTCTCTGCACAATTGGAAAGATCATTTTACCATTTAATTGCTTTTCTCCCTCTGCCAGGTTTCGCTCTGGATTCAAGCTGGCCTTCCGCTGGTGTCCCTGCATAAAAGCAACTGAGAAAGACAAACTTAAACTCATGTCCCCATCTCTCTACCAGACAACCCTCAGGAAGTCAAGAACGAGTTTCAACACAGAAACTCAACTGAATGAGAAAGAGAAGACATCCTTTACCCTCACCCAGTTGACACTCTGATTTCCTGCTCCTAGTTCTGGCTCCATCCCATACACCAAGCAAGGCAGTAGATCTGAAGAAGCTCTTTTTCTCTGGAGCAGCTATTTCCTACAGGACTTCTTTAGATGCCATCAGCATTGAAGGCAGTGTGTTGATAACACTCCTATCCATGTAGGTCCAAGCTGCAGGTACAAGTTTAGCCCTCCCTTACATCAACAACTGCAATACAGAACAGACATCGGGCCCAGGAGGCCAGAAACTCAGCAAAGCAGATCTGAGGCAGTGCCAATCAGAAGAATATAAATTCTTCTCTTCTACATTGTGATCTCCTGATTTCTGTTCCACCAGGAGAAACTGAAGTAGGAAAGGGGTGATGGAGCAGAAAGGCTGGGGCTCCTGTGGCCCAGCTGGGATGGACCCAGGGCTGTGTGGGCAGCCAAGTGCCAGGGCTCACCAGCCCCAAGGCACTGTGTACCAAAGCCTGTTTACGACAGAGCCAAACACCAACACATCCAGACTGAAAAATCCAGCCTGCCCTCAACATTTTCTGCATTCTGGGATTTTCATGCCAGCAGTTTCACCAGCAGAAACAGTTCCTTAAGATGTTGTCAGTGCACGGATTTCTATAACCTTGCCCCAAAATATGATGTTGGTTTCCTATTAAACCATGCTCAAGTGATTTCTCCTTCACATTAATTGTGGTGCCTAATTTGAAGAGTGAGGCTCCCTCAGAAGAGTCAGTAGCCAGGGATGGCCAGTGGCTTGGTCAGGGCTCATGGATCCACTCAGAATCCACCTTGTTTACATCCTTTTAGCCCTAACAGCAGTGCTCCATCGCTGTCTTGTCCCAGACAGTCCTTCACCTTCCCTTTCCAGACTTACCCCATATTTATCCTCACTGCTCTTCCCAGGTATGAAAATAAAAGCTGGAATATGTCATCTTCCCAGCCTGAGGCATTATGTGCAGGCACACAAACCAGGAGAAGCTGAAATATAAACATTATGTAAAAGTAATGCAGCATTTAATAATGATGTGGTAAGTTAGCACCTTCACCTCTCATGACAGGTTTGTAAATAATATCACAGAGCCATACCTTATCAATTAAAGAGCTCCTGTGATGTTGACAAGATCCAGTTATTTGAAATATTCTCCTTTGCTCTGTGAAAGCCAAACTTGAGAGCCCTTGTCACACAGCAGGCCATGTTATTCCTGTGATATGTGAAGCATGCCCCATGGTAAATCCATGTAATTCTCCATTAATAAATACAGACAGGGTTAAATACCACACAGCTGTAAAGACATCCAGGTCAGCAATAATTCCCTCCCCTGCATGTTCACTTGTGCTCTGAGGAGCAAGGCAGTCCTTGCAGTCAGTAAAGAAAAACACTTGAAGAATCTCATTTTTATGGCAAAGGGGGAATGAACAAAAAGCACAGAACGGGGTTCAGAAGTTCAGAAACACTTTATTTTGCCTTCTGCTATTTTCTTAAGAAAACAAAACAAAACAAGGTCTGCTTGTTTTAAAACTCATTCAAAAGGCTTCTGAGAGAACCCCAGAGGAGTAAGGAGCAGATGACATTACAACAGTGGTATGCAAATGGTCTTTTCCCCAGGAAATATAAGATTTTTGTGTTCATATTGCAGTAATTACAGCTTAACAGTTAAGAGGACTGTGATTTTATTCACCAAGCCTAAAAGCTTTAAGAAAGACATCTCAGTCATTGATTGTATAACATTGGAGACATTTCTTCAGACAGTCATAGCTTGTGATTCACTTGGAACAGTTTCCTAGGGGTAAGAAGTAGTCTGGAAATGGAAATCCCACCATGTCTCCCTTTGGAAAAGAACTGCCGTGTCTTACCAAGCACATCAACTATGGTCCACGGTAGGAAAAGTTAGAAACACAAACTCACTCCCTATTTGTTATGAGCTGGATCCAATAAACAAAACGACCTATGCCAGCATCTCCAAAATCCACAGTCACCCTGAGACCAAGTTTAAGTTCCACTTCTCCCTCACCCTGTATCCTGCTCTGAGCCTGGCCCTCGGGTGCCAAAGAGCTGCAGAGCCAGGTCCCAGGCACGGCTCACACCACCCCTACAGCACTGCCGGCGGCAGGCACAAGATCTGCAAACCTCCAAGCAATTCAAATGCAACGTGTCCCCTGCGCCCAAAAACCTTTCTCACCTTCTTCTGTCTCCTGTTTGGGGTCATAGCTGCACATCAAGGCTGTCAGAGACTATTCAGGCTGTAACATAAAACGCGTTATTGGAGAAGCACAGCTTTAGTGTACGCAAAAGGGGCTTTCATCCAGCACAGCTCCATCACCGGCTGTGCCAGCCAGGGCTGCAGAGCACCTGACAGCGGTGCTGAGCCAGCATTAACGCTACACACACAGGGAGCTCACAGCCTGGTGACACCACACCGCCCTCAAGGCAGCACCCCAAGGCTTTCCTGCAGCACACATCCCCCTGCACAAGGCAGGGGCACCCAGGGGCCCCTAAGATTTGGGCGCTGTCAGCGCTGTGCCTCTGCTGAACTACGCTAGGAAACACGAGGCACGGGGACCTGTGTGAATCTGACCCCGAATGCCCGGGAATAAAAACACACACACAAAACACAGGCACCACTGGGATTAGGTTGCAGCTCTCCCTACACAATAGCTCTTCCCAAAGCACTAAGCCACCAGCCAACAGCACCTCTTCCAGAAAGAACCACTAAACACCAGTTAACGCACATCAAAAAAGTTTAATATTTTCACAAGTATCACGTAACACTAGTACCAGAGCTACTAGTGTGCAAAGTAAAAAGACCCTCTACCTTTGCAAAACCAGTTAGGCATGCAATTTTTCAGGTAGACACACACTTAAAGCTGCAATGACTGTTTGTGACTTACAGGTTACTTTACAACATTCACTCACAGTGCACCATAATGCATATTGAAATGTTATCGATAGGTAGGGGCAATCCAAATCTTAGGGAGTGGAACGAGAGCAGAGAAGAGCAGCCTGCAAATTTCCATCTACTTTCTGCAGGAAAAGGCAGCAGGGAAAACCATGCAGACATCTCAGATTCATTTTTGGTAGAAGAGTGGGAATTAAGGACTTAACTGTGTGGTCTCCCTCTTTGCAGAAAGTGGCGTGACTTACAAATGTTACTCAAGATGTACCTTCCTAGCTGCTTCTCAATTTAAGTGATGGAAATACAATAATGCAAATATAATAATGGCATTGACTGGACAGAGGACAGGGTACACCACGTGTAAATGATCTGCTGTTGCCTTCGTCCTTGGAATAAGCTGCACCCAATTTTGGCTTTTTGGGTTGTTTACGCACCCGGGTCCTCCAAGGCAAGATCAAAACACAACCTTCCCCTTCCTTTCTGCGCACTAACTCTGGCTGGGTGTCTGTGTTCCGAGTGGCTGCTGGACAGCATTACAGATTAAAGCTCTGTGTGGAAGCAAATACCCATTTAAGGCGAGAGACGGAAGCAGGCGCAGCCGGGGGACGCGGCTGCGCTGCAGGTTTGGTGCAAGGGCAGCTGCAGTGCCCCGACCTAGACTGACAAGAAGAGACAGGAACTGTTCTCTGTAAGAACCCTTTGACAGAAGAACACAGCACAGCCGTGTAGGGAGCACAGATCTATCGAATTGGCAGGGCTGGAGATTTGGATTACCCCAGTCACCGACCACTCTTTAGGGATTTCTCGCCGAAACGTGACGGATTTCGCCCAGGAACACAACACTACTCACAGAAGCAATGGGGAATACCAGTGGAACCAGGTCTGTGGGACAAGGGTGTTTACTTTCACCATGACAGGAGGCATCAAGGAAGCGAGTAAGTCGCGGTGTCAAGTCCCACTACAGAGTTACGTGCGTGCACGGTGCCGACACACCAAAATGTTTTCACAACCGTTTGAGACAAAACAACAGCAGGTAGATAATGCAGGAGGGAACTGTTGCTTCCCCTTCACTTAAAAGCATCAACACCCAGGTCTGGTGGTCAGCGTGCTGGCAGTGTGCTTAACAGGGATGCTGCAAAGAACACGTTTGGTACGATGCAACGGGAGCTCTCAACGCACATCACTTGGGGGCAATTTCGTCTCAGACAACAACTGATTTTTGACAACTGCAGAAATTATAGACTGTTTTTTTTTTCCATGACCTACAGATGGGGAAAGTACCGACAAGGTGAGTAAGAAACATGCAGATTGGGGTCCAGAAACAGGAGATATTATTAAGAGCACACATTCTATCTTGTATCCTATTTTTTTTTTTATGTCATTAGTTGTAATATTTTTTTCCCCCGATAAAGCAGCGAGTTCTGAGTTTTTTACCAGTTCTGACTATGCCAGTCGCTGCTTTATGAGAAACACAAGACAGAATTGAGGCCAGGGCTGTGGAGTTCAGTTCTGCTCAGCCTCACGGAGCCTGCATCCCACGGCTGTGATGAGCGCTGCCCCTTTCCCGCTGCCGTCCTCCGACAGCAGGAAGGTCACGTCGCAGTTGGGCGCCAGCTCTTTGACTGTTTGGTGCATGATCCTCGAGAAGCTGGGAAAGCAAACAAGGGCAGTGGGTGAGGAAGGTCCTGCAGCAAGTGCAGAGCACTGCCACGGGCATTTGTATCCCCTTTCATCAGGCTGAGAAGTAAAATGTTGGAAACCAGGGTGGATTTGAAGCCTGGGAGCAGTAGGAGTTAAAGGGAAAAAGCACTTTCATCCCAGCCCCACCTGTCTGTGTGAGGTTAACTGGGATCACTAATCCACAGCAAAGGGAAAACAACAGACCACATAAGTCCTCTCCTTCCCACCCATCTCCTTCCATGCACACTAGTTCTCTTCTGCTCCTGCCCTCACCTGCATTGCTCTGCAGCATCTCTTCTCCGCTGGGCACTGAACAGAAACATCCTCCAAAGAGGCACCAGGCATTTCAGCACTGCTCTATCATTGCCTGTCCAGAGCCAAGAGATCCTTCCCTTGCTACACAGCATCCAACTCACTCAGCAAGCTGTGTCCCCTTCAGTTTGTCACCACCCCAAGAATCTTTCACAAGCCATTCCTGATCCTCTCATTGCTCTTCAGAAAGCCCTGAGCCCCCTGATTCAGACATTTTTTCCCCTGGCTCTTATCCCAGCAAGTGAGAGAGTCCAGCTGGGAGCATCAGGAGGAAGGATGCACACGCAAGGCACAAAGAAAAGCTGAGAAGGCAAACACTCACTGTGGGTGGAGTTTGTAGAGAGTTCCATCCACACCAACCGTTATCTCCAGGCGCTCCAAGCCTCTGTTCTCCCTAATTTTATCTACAATGGCAGCCATTCCAGCCCCACAGAGCTGGGCTGCTCGCCTCGACACCGCCCCGCACACCGTCTTGACGATGATGCTGTCGTCGCAGGTGCTGTTGAGCCCCAGCTGCTGGAGGATGGTTCTCACCTGCAGCAGGGCTAACCTGTCACTGTGGGAGGACAACACCGTGTTACAGCTTTCCCTCAGTCATGCTATAAATCCCACAGCTCTGATGGTGCACCCACCCCAGGCAGCAGCCTCTCCTGACAGCACAAGTGACCCCAGGGAAGGCAAATTCAGTCACCCCTGCACTGTGCTGCACTGCAAGCAGCAACACAGGCTCCAAGTCCAGCTCTGTACTGCCTCCCATTCTCTTTTCTTGCCATAGGGCATTCTAGGAAAATATTTTTAACAATGACCTTGGGGTTTTTTTCCCCCATGAAGCATCAGAGATTGCTTTAAAATCCAGAGTCCGAGCAATAACAGCACAAAAACCCCCAGTAAGCAGTGCTCACTCAGCTAGTACTCATTCAATTCCACAACTGCAGCTAAACACACACAAGGGGCCCAGGAAAATGCTTGATTTCCAAACAAGGAAATAAAATGATAACACAAGGGAACCCTTGACAGCCCTTCCTTTTAGAAGTGAGCATTGCTAGAAATTCAGTTGATACTGTAAGGAATCCTCCTGCACACACACAGGCTGAAACCCAAATTGTCTCCAGAGAAGCAAGCAATGCTTTCCAGCTGTCCCTCCCATCCAGCAGTGTCACCAGATGAACACTACTACACTACTTCACCTCCCATGCAGTGCTCTTACCTCTCAATCTGAGAAAGGAACTTGGTTTCAAAGATATGCCTGGTCTTCAGTGTCTCTGAAATCTGGCCTCGGAACAGGAAACCCCGCTTGGTGAAGTCAATCAAAATATTGCGCACTATTTCCCCCAGGTACATCCCACTGATCATTTTCTCATACCTGCAAGGAAAGACAGCAGTCCAGCTCAGAGGGAGCCTGCCCACGTTTGCAAGGGCAGCATCATTATCAGCCAGGTGTCCTGTGCACAGAGGGCTGCAGGTACCAGGGCCAAGCATCACTCCTGGGACACTCCTTATCCTGTCTGCAGGTGGAAGAGATTTCCTCTCTCTAGCCTGAGGCAAGACTGCAAGTGGGAAACTTGGGTCCTGTGTGCAGAGCTGGGGGCTGAGAGGGGTTCAAGACAGCTTGGTTCTTCCCTCAGGTTTTGGGACAACTGGTTGGCCTATTGGAAACCAGGTGCTTGAATTAACTGAAGAGCATAAACTAACTCTGGACCACCAGATTGCCAACTTGCAGGTCAGTGGTCTTGTAAACATGGCTGGACATGGTTTTTCCCATCCTTTATCTTGCACAGGACTCCCTTAAAAACACTGCATTTGCAGTGACTGTACCTTGTGGTTTCCCTGCAATTTTGCTGCATGGAGCCACTGAGCTTTTTCTATTTGGAGGTCTCAGCCGTGTTTTGCTCTCCGACCCCTCCTGGTTTGAATGGAGCATTTTGGGGTCTGTAAATTGTGTCCCTACCAACAAGAACTGAACAGCCCAATTTCCTGAGAAGGGCATTCAGTGATACATCCTTTATTTCACCTCCTGAAGCTGCACAGCAGGGTTTGTGCCCTGGCCTGAGCAGAGCCCAGCACGCCATCCTGCTGGAAGCAGGCCACGCAGTCCATTTAATACCCTGAGCTCTCTCAAGCTTGTACCCAGCAAGTGTCCTCCCTCCTGAGTGCCTGACTATCTCTGGAATAAATTATTCCCCTGGCAGTCTCCAGTACTGCCTTTGGCTGCTTACTCCATGCCAACTCTGCTGCTGCACCAGGCTCGCTCCACGTCTGCCCCTCTGGGTCTGTCTGAGCCTCAGCTTCTAAAGAGCTTCCCGTGGGACTTGCCAGCTTGTCTGTATTCCTCAGGCTTTTGTGGGCAGATTTACTCTAGTCACAAAATCTTTTTAAAAGCTCCTGGCATCAAAGCACTGCTGCAAAGAAATGATGGAAGTTTGTAGTCCTAGCAAGCAACAGTCTCAGCCCAGTTTTAGCAGCGCTGGGTACTGGGTTCACCTCCTTGTCAAGTTTTTCTTGAAGGGGACGGGGAAGCACTTGCCCAAACAAAGCTGAGCCCCAAAAAGGGACCAAACTCCAGAAGCATGAAAGGCAGGCCTTCTAACATGACCTATCCCAGAAAATTGTCTATCCCAGACCCTCTAACATGACCTATCCCAGAAAACTGTCTATCCCAGGCCCTCTAACATGACCTATCCCATGCAGAAAATTGTCTGAAATAAGAGCTGGCTGCAACTGCTTGAGAGCTCCTGAGTGCTTTACAGTGAGCAGCTCCCAGCTTTAACCATGCCAGCTGGTGTAAGTTCAGGACTGCCATAGGCACAGCCCTCTACTAAGAGCTTAGCTAAAACAGATTAACCTGAGACCCTCTGTAAAAGAATCACTAGCCATCTTATCCCTCTGTACAGCACAGGATGAGAAAAAGGGTCTCTTCATGATTTCAAGACTTTTGAAGTCCTCACCAAAAGCCCTGCTGTGGAGTCCCATGGCAGCAAATAAGCATTGTCCAGGAAAAGCACAGAAAGGGGAGATCCCATAGGATAGCAGGACTGCAGTCATTTTCCACTCTGAACCTCTCCTTTCTCAGCTGGTACAAACCCAGTTGTGTCTCAAAAGCACTTAGGGCAGCCTGGCTAGCAGGCCCAGCACCCATTTGTGCTGCAGTACCTCTGCTTGCCAGCATTCAGGGAGAAGTCATCCACTGCTTTGTCATAGATTGTCCTGATGTCGTCCAGGCAGCCGTTGTCCCCGAAGGCTCCCCACTCCGTGTTCACACACATCCTGCCCTGCTCACCATCCACCATCTCGATGTTCCTCATCTCCTCCATGTAACAGGCATTGCTGCCCGTTCCTGAAACAAACACACACTCAGGTTACCTTGGGTTGCAACAAAACTCCTCTAAAGCCACACCTGACAAACCTTCTGGGGGATCTTGAATGTGTTTTTTCTGAAGGAAGTAGTTGAATCATCATTTGAAACATCATAAAAAAACCCCAAACCCTGACTCTTCATCAGCCCTAAACTGAAGGAGAACATGACTCCTGTGGTGCATTGCTCAGGGTGGCTCAGAGAGGAGCTCACCCAGGCCACTGCAGGGAGGAAGAGCAGGGCAGCACTTTCAGCACACAAAACCTCACATGCTTCTGAGCCCAACACTTCAGCTAGATTTGGCAACTGGGAACACCTTCCACAAAGCACACACACCCACAGAATTCAGGGGAAGATATACTGAACTGGAAACCTCAGCAAGTTCTGAGGCAGCAGGGGTTTTACCAGCTGATTGCTTGGGGGATTTTCTGATTTTAATTGCTCATTTTCTCCAGCAGGAAGGTTACTTCCATGTTGAGATGAAGCCATATCTGATATTTCTTCATAGAGGATCCTAAGGAGTGTGGCAAAGTGCTCCATGTACACACAGGTCTTTAGGGAGGAAAGCTTTATTAGTAAAGAGAGGCTTTAGCTGCTACCAGGGCAAAAGTTCTCTTGAAGTCACTTAAACTCTCATTAAATCCTGCATCCCAGATGATACACCAGTTGCTACAGCACGTCTGTTTTCCTTTGCCATGTTTTCAGGGAATTACATCAACACAGCCTGAGCTAAAATAGATCCTCCCACAGCACTCCCCTGCCGCAGGAGAGCCGAGCCCCAGCACAGGGTTTGGCAGGGGGAATGTCTGGGTGTGCAGGAGCAAACCAGACCAAGCCCAGTGCAGATTGCCACCAGTGGCCAGGCTCCCTGGGGTGCTGTGAGCCAGGCAGGGCAGAGGGAGCTCTCTCATTGCCATTATCCCAGAGGTGCCCAGGTGCTGTGACACCCTGCCCTGCACACAGACACGCTGGCTGCACAGCAGGCCTGCAGAGAACAGTCCCCAGGGAGGTGTGAGCACCCCAAGGACACGCTGTCCTTCCTGCACACAGCCACCATGGAGCTGCCCAGGCACGGCCTCCTACCCACACTGCACCCTGCTGACTCATCCTGGAGGCTTTCCAGCTGTCTGCAGGAAAAACTGGGGGAGGGGGGGGGTTATTTTCCTACAAGCCACCTCCCAGCTGAGAGCACTCCTAAAGCTTGCAGGTGCCTTGCCCCCTTCCTTCCCATTCCTTTGGAGAGCTCTGGGAATCCACACTGCCCCATGACTCAGGCTGCCCAAGCATGGCATTTGCAAAGGCAGCAGCCCATGGAATTCCTTCAGCTGCCTCACTGCTGGGAAGGGAGCTGTGTGTCACTGTGCCCAGGCTGGCACAGCTCTCCAGCACATGCCATCTGGGAATTGTGGCTGCACTCTGCAGCTTTATTCTGAGAGACCACTTCTCACCCTGATTTTTTAGGATTTTCTAAGCGTTCTGATGTTTGCATTTTTGTAACAAATTTTTTCACATACTTTTTGTAAATAACTTACGTTTTTGCATTCTTTTATAGAAGAGGAAAAATTTGATGGACTGTTGGTTTGTCCAGTGTCATTGGAGAGGTGGCACTGTCACCCTCCAACCCACTGTCACTTTTGAAAATCCATAAATGCTAGAGTCAGAAAATAAACTTCCCTTTTTTCACCTTGAAAACAGCAGTGTGTTTCATGTTATTTTATGTCCTATATTGACAAGCACTGGCTTGGAGAAAGCTGTGGGCCACCAGAGCACCCAGCAGGGACACTCTGACAGGCTAAACTAACAGGAGTTGCTGAGGCTCCCTGAGCCCACATCTGCTCTCCTCCTGTGCCTTTATCAGATAAAACATGCAGGATTTATTGTGCATCACAGCCTCTGCTCATCTGGACCGACTGTGGACAGAACTAGGCTGGCTGTTGAATTTTGCTCTCTTTTACTCCTAGAAATCCTAGCTTTATTTTGAGTTAACCACAAGGATGCCTCCACAAGAACACAGGCAGATGTGTGGATGTGCTGTTTGATAAAAAGCAGCTCTAACACGTACCCACAATGAGCCCAATTTCACAGTTTGGATCTTCATAAGCACAAGTCATCATCGTGCCCACTGTGTCATTCACCACAGCCACCACATCCAAGTCAAATTCCTTTGGGAGAGAGAAAACAGCAGTGAGAAAATAGCAGTGAGTCCCTCCCACCAAAGGGGATGATGTAGTGAAAACAACTGAAATCACCAGCCTCATTTCACACATGCAAAAACAGGAACCTAATGTACCAGCAGGCAGCCAAGGTATGTGCTCTACCTGTCTTCAGAATGAAATTTATCCCTGGCCTAAGTAGGTTTAAGCACATATCTTTCACATAGGGACATGGTATAAGAGTTCACTATCACAGCAATTGTGTAGCAATTCCAGGAACAAAGCTTTTAAGACTTCCTTTTCACTGGCTGATAAAATCTGTGCAAAATTAACACCTTTCTCAGGCTGTTTTTCTTCCCTTCCTGGAAAGTTTTGGCTAAAGTGGTTGAGGCTTTTTCAAGATCAAGAAGAGGAGGAGAAAACTGTCCTTTAGGGTGCACAGAGGTGCATTCCTACAGTCCCCACTTTGAAAACTCCTTTCTCCATGCATGTGGAAATTGCCACAGAGGTTGAAAGAAGCCTTGAAAGTTCTGGCAAATGTGGAAAGTCAGAAACCTCTGGGGGAAAATAATCTTCTGTGCAAGACAGGAGGCACAGCCCCTGTCTGCAAGGCACACAGATCCTGTGAGAGGGAGCCAGCCTGACCCACCAGGTCTGTCAAGTCTGGAGAGGAGCAGAATGAGGAAAAAAGAGAAAGAAAAATCACCTCTCTTCTTTTAATTCCTTCCCTAAGTAAATATACCACATCTTCTCCCTCACAGTCTGTAGCTTTGAAGCCTTTTGTCCAATTGAGAAGGATACCCTATAAAGCAAGAAAAGAGGTTATCAAGTCGTTAGGACTCAGAAGTTATTCTGTACACTTAATATCTCAAATACCCAAACTCTTCTGTAAAGCATCACTTTAATGTTATGTTTTACAGAAGAGTTTCTGTGAAAAAGAATATCTCCTCAGTATGTTGAATTTGCATCTGAAACAACTAATTGTGATTGGGTTCTAAATTTCCAGAGCAATGCAACAAACTAAAAAAAATTAAAATAAAAAAGGAGGAGACAGGAACAACAAAATCAAAAACCCAAAGAAGTGTTATAGAAAATAGGCCTTTTTTAAAAGAAACCCCAGCTAAGCATACAGGAAACTATTAACAGCTGCAGAGGCTGGTGCAAGGATGTGGCAGTGAAGAAATTGAACACAGAAGTGTAAAGTCCATTTGTCAGGGGTGTGCTGCAGGCCACACTGTCACCCTTAGGGTGACACAGCCCATGGATTCTGGTGCAACCACTCCATCCAGTGAGACAAGATCATCTGGGAGCAGGCACTGGCAGCAGGGATGGACTTTTGCTTACTGCCTGCAGAACCAGGGGAGTGTCACAGACCAGCAGGTTTACACAGATGGAAAAAACATAATGCCTTAAAAAAGGGCTATGACCACCATGGAAAATTTAAATGCTCTTATCTGTCACAGCCACGGGCAGCATTTGCACTACCACCCTTAAAGGGACTATTTATAGGAGCAGCTGTACTGGTCAGGGTCAGCACAGGAACCTTCCCCTCGTGTGACCTTCCTGTAAATGTCACGTGGGTGACAGGAAGGCACAGAAACCAGGTCTGGCATAAGCACAGAAGCAGATTGAAGAGATACTAAGGAACTTACAGCATCCAGACTGGTCTGCTTGCAGGGGAAGGAAAAGGTGAAGCCAAGAGGAAGACGTGCTCCTTTTATCCCCATATAATCCAGGAAGTCAGAAATGCAGGTAACGATGTGATCAAACAGCTTTGAAGAGAAAAGTCATAATATTTGAAGTTGCACATGTTATGTGCTCTTAAGGAGTTATTTAAAAAGCAGCAGTGCAGCCAAGAAAAACACAAATACCTCTTCTCCTGTTCCCTGCATCACCTCTATGGGAATGGCATAGATCTTGTTGTGCATCTCCACTGTTCTCCTTTTACCACTGCGTATTTTCACCAGCAAAACTCTAAAGTTTGTCCCTCCGAGGTCAAGTGCCAGAAAGTCTCCATTCTCTGTAAAAGAGTATGTGTGCATATTTGAAGAACCATAAGTAACATCTGAAGAAATGCTTCTCTCAAAGTATTTTGATAGAAAATCCCCTAAAAACTCAATTGGGAAGATCTTCATCAAAGGAGGACTTCAGATGCTGCTTTGAATTTTTGTTTTCCTTCAAACACACAAGGGGAAAAGGACTCACACAACTGTTCCCTGAGAGAGAGCTGAAATTTGGCCAGCCACCCTGAAATGCAAAGCACCCAAGGAATGGGTACTTTGGGTTTGGGTTTATGATCCCAGTGTGACAGCGTTCACAGGGGTTTTGGGATTGAGGGAAGAGACGAGGATCTGACTCCGTGGTTCAGAAGGCTGATTTATTATTTTATTATATATATATTACATTAAAACTATACTAAAAGAATAGAAGAAAGGATTCCATCAGAAGGCTAGCTAAGAATAGAACAGGAAGGAATGATAACAAAGGTTTGTGGCTCAGCTCTCTGTATGAGCCAGCTGACTGTGATTGGCCATTAATTAGAAACAACCACATGAGACCAATCCCAGATGCACCTGTTGCATTCCACAGCAGCAGATAACCATTGTTTACATTTTCTTCCTGAGGCCTCTCAGCTTCTCAGGAGGAAAAATCCTAAGGAAAGGGTTTTCCATAAAAGATGTCTGCGACATCCCAGCTGTGGTTTCCCCCCTCAAGCTGTGACTCTGCTTGCACCCTGAGGCAAGGACACAGCATCAGGCTGCCAGCAGCCAGCACAGGGGCCAGCGCTGAGATCTCCTCCTTTGCACAGCTCAGGCTCCTCTTTGCTTGCACCAGATCTGCTCAGCTTTGCCAAACCCCACACTGGGATTTGGGGCTGTAACCAAGTCATCATCCCCACTGCACCGAGGGCGCACTCTACCTGTCCCGTCGGGCGTGCTGCGCACAAAAGTGGGCAGCATCTTCACTTTGGCCGTGTCGTGAGTCTTCTTCTTCAGCCCCGCCTCCATCT